CTCCTGTTTGAGTAGCGCAAGGTATCGGACGGGGTATCGCTCTGCGACTTGCGAGCGATGGCTTCGACATAGCCGTGAATGATATCACTCCCAACGCGGCCAAGCTCACCGAACTGGTGGAAGAGATCAAGGGGAAGGGATGCAAAGCCTCTGCGCACATCGCAGATGTCTCAGTCGATTCGCAGGTCAAGGGCATGGTAGAAGAAGTGGTGAAGATTCACGGCGGGCTTGATGTGGTGAGCCTGTCTCGGTCATGTCGGATAGCATCACACTCACTGTGCAACCCGAGATGATCGCGAACGCGGGGGTGATGAACTTCGCCTCAATTGAACACAGTATGTGATGAACCATCGATCTGCACAGCTAATAAAACCGCGGACTGATAGCTAGCGTTGACGATTGGGACCGCGTTATGGCCGTCAACGCCCGCGGGACCTTCCTCTGCTTCAAGTACGCTGGGATGCAGATGATCAGCCAAGGCCGTGGCGGGCGAATCATTGGCGCGTGTTCGCTCGGCGGGAAGAAAGGTCTGTTCTACTTTGTGAAAAAAATCCTCCTCAAGCTTCAAACTGAATGGTTTTCACACTCAAGGCGGCCAGATGATGAGTGCATATTGTGCCTCCAAATTTGCCATCCGCGGCTTGACGCAATCGGCCGGTACGTTGATTCATCCTCTCATTTTGTTACGCAAGCGCGTTTCTGACCGCCTGAAGCCACTGAATACGGCCCTCACGGTATCACGGTGAACAGCTATGCCCCTGGAATGACGGATACAGAGATGGGTAAGCCAATAATGCTTCCGATTCTTTATATTAACGGTATTGTTTCTTCAGTAACCAACATGGACAAATCATTTGCGGACCAGACGGGAAGTGCGCCTGGCGCTTTCAAACAGCTGGTATGGTGCATCCACAATTGGCCACAAAATTCTTATCGTAGATAGCTCCAGCAAGGCATGGCGCTCCCGATGATGGCGTTGCGCTCCCTTTTTTCTGCTGGCTGATACTGTGCTGACATCTCATTCAGGACTCCAGATGATATCGTTGGGCTTGTGTCTTTTATCGCCTCCAAGGAATCGCAATTTATAACAGGTGACGAACTTCTCCGTCCTTGCGCTCACGGACTGACCATTGTGCCTTTTCCGAAGGCCAAAGCGTGCGTATTTTCGCCAGTTCACCTGCTGATACTGATTTTCTGCAGATCTCGATCAACGGTGGAATGCACTTCGACTAGCCGCTGGTCGTTGGTTGGTTTTGATGGAACATGTCTAGTTGTACGTGTCGGAGTTCTCCAACTTTCAGCCTTGCGAGCAACCCGTGAGTATTCTGAATAACATTGCACTTGAACACACGATGTATATTCCTTCGCCGGCGCGCCTTTCGAGCTCCCAATCCCAACCGGAGTGAATCATCGTTGCGATCAAGTTGCGATGCTGGGATGCCGTTTGGATGCCGTGCGCGAGAATTTCTCGATTTGTAGCTCTAAAAAATCACCGGGAAAGGCTCAACTCTGCAACGTGCCCTGAGATCTCTGAGCGTCTATGCCACTGACACCGGTTTTCGCACTCTGTAGCTGTTTGATGGGATTCAGTTACTGTTGTTTGCTCCAGGTTTGCTCATGTGTGTTGCTGTGATCGTTCTTTTTGCTTCTTACTTCCATGTCTGGCCTGCATTTCTTCGATCTCCCTACGGAACTCATCATCAAGACGTTGGCAGAACTCTCTGTCGTCGATCTGCGGAACTGCGAAGCCACCAACAACCGATTCCTCAGTGGCCTGATCCGCGACTCAGCTTCCCTTCAGTACGGGGTGGAAAAACAGCTGGCATGTGTGGAAGACACTCCTCATTCGCGACGGAACAACTCCTTGGTTGAGCGCGCCCAAAATTTACGCCTTCGCCAGCGTGCCTGGCTGGAATTTACCTATAAATACACCCGCACCATAACCGTCGACCATGCTGCTTCAGAGCTGTGCGAGCTGGTCTCAGATATTTATTTCGTGGTCAGAGGCGGAGGTCATGTGTCAGGCCTGTCTAATGCGATCAAGTACGCGCGTATACAGTCACCACAGGACTCTGAGGACATAGATTCAGAATTTGCGCATATCGAGATTGGCCGGCCTGTGGTGGATTTCGCTGCCGCGATCGAAGAGCATAATCTTATGGCAGTGGTCACATAGTGAGTTTTACTCTCTACACAGCTCATTGTGCCGCTCAACTCTTCCTTGAGCACTCCGCATCGCAGTGATATACACATGCTGTCGGTGGACATTGTACTCCTGGACTTCCCGACTGGGAGACACCACCGGCTTGCTATCAAGCCGGTCATTCATGTGCACGACGTGGAAGCATTCCGAAATATTCCTCACACGACAGTCGATGTTGCTGGAGATAATCTCACTCTGGCGATTATATACGACGACGAGGCAAAGGACCTCAATCTGCTGCACATTTTTGACTGGAAATTGGGAATCCCCCGAATGGCAAGTATAATCTTCCACTACTATACATTCACATTCACGGCTTAACCAGGAGCCAGTTGCGATCTCGCATGTCGGTGCTACGTTCCTCGCCGAGGACACGATACTATTACCCAACGGCAAAGGCAACTCGCTCGATATCTATCGGATACCACGGATCGGTCAAGCCGCAGTTATCCATTCCTTCCACCTTCCTCCCCTCTTACCATCCTACTCCGTTACTTCTGCCATCTGCAAAGGTTCCCCGGCTTGTTTGGGAGCCAACTCTCATGCAACGCCAACAAGTCCGGGGAGATACACCAGCGACTTCGAGAAATCCCTTATCGTAGTTTCCTTCGATATCACAGTGGACGATGACGATGAGGGAGAACAGTTTCTCTTCGTCTTCCTTCGCAACGAATTCATGGATGTGCTCGAGGACAGGACGAACAGGGGGCACTCTTTCACCGAGTGGTCCTTGTGGGGGCCTTCCCACACGCGATGGCTCAACATGTACCGGATTGGCACCGGCAATTTCTACAGCATGTCGTATGGGCGGCGATTTGTTTGGATCTCCGACGACGGGGACAACTTGCAGCCCATCCGCATATTAGATTTTAATCCCGACGCCGTCAATCTCGTTGCGGGAATCGAGGGTCAGACCCCGACGGCCGCTATCCATGTTGTCCCTCGTCATGAGGTGAGCTTCACCCGATACCATGCATTTCAGAGCCCTGTGGAATCTACGCTGCCCTACGTCGAAACCATCTCGATGGAGGATTTTACGTACCATTGCGTTGCCATAAATGAGGATAACATTCTGGGATTTAAAGTGCGTGTACTGCCGAGAACCGCAACACTGACCTTAATTCTTGCTTGTAATTTGACGAGTCAAATAATTTTGGAGTCCAGTCTATCGACGTTCTACAATTTGGGCCAGTTTGAGCCCACGTCAAGCCCCTGGGTTGATTCAGAGGCGACAGATCCAACGCCCCGGCATTTGAACAGGGTTAACATGGCCTGGATGAACGGGAACGCAGTGGATTCGAGTCTGCCGTGGATCCAAGGTGGATCTCCGGGCTCCCAAAGAGAAAACTTGGATCAATCATTCACGTTATCTCTTCGCCCTCCTCACGTACGCATAACAAAGACAACTCCGCATCCGTTCTTGTTGAACTTCGGGACATGCGCACCGCTTAATACTAAGTACACTTTCGCAGTGGTTCCATAAAACGTGGCGGCATTCACTGATCCGGGGACTTGCTGTGCCCTACATGCCGAGAGAGCTTATTTCAATTTTCAATCTGCGAGCACTCCGAGTTGTTGTTCCTGATCCGGCGCAGGGCTCTAGAAGTTTTGGCCTGGAACTGGGCTGGCACCACTGTTCTGAGTGGACTCGAGGTCGAACAACTCTGGCCACGAGCCTAGATTGCACCCAGCCCCGGACGAATGATCTCAACAGCGCCCATCTACAGTCAACATCGGATAACAGGCCTGGAAGTAGAGCAAAATGGGTTTAGCGGAGCGCATTTCATTATCCGTGTCAAGCGCCCGTGCCGCGCCCCGCTGCCGCGCATCTCGTGCCACAGTCTGGAATGGTGTAGGTTTTACATCATTTAATTCTGGGCCATCGGGAAAAAAATTATATAGGCCCCCACCCTTTGGTATGTACAGTCAGCACACCCAGCACACCCACATAACAATCATGGCCGCCCTCATGCGCTCCGCAATGGCACCCAGAGTCTCCAATGTCTTTCGCCAACCACTTTACATCGCTCAGGGATCGAGACGGATGGCACATGCCCACGTGCACGCGGTTGAGTACCACGTACGAATTTGGGTCGCCCTCCCATCGCTCCTCTCGGCTGCCCAATAACTGACTCGTGTGATAGAACATACCCTTCGATTATTCGAACCGGAGACGGTTCGCCGCGAAATGCGTCGCCTACATGGGGTTTGGGTTTGCGCTTCCGTTCGTCGCAGTCGGATGGCACGTTCACCAGGTTCCCCTCACTTCTCACGGAAGCGCAAGCTAATTGGGAACGCTAGGTACAAGCCTGGAGGATACAAGAACTCTTCCTAAATTTCCCCAGCCTCCTGAATATTAAATCCAGACCCTGTATATATAGCGTGTAGCACTATTAAATAATTATCGGCGCAGGGAGTTGAAAGTTTATACTTACTGGGAGCCCAGCACAGTTGAGTCCAACACTCTGGCTTTCGAGGTGAACAACACCGGGGCCATGCACAAGCATCGGTGGGGTATCGGGAGCCCACAACCCTCCTCTCCAGAAATCCTATGTGGCTTTGAGCGGTTGAGAGCCTCAGAGAGCGGGGTTCGAATCCCTGTCGATGAGTTCGTCGCGTAGCGATCCTATTTCTTTTTCGGGGGGCTGCGCGAGAGGGGGAGTGAACCGCAATCGTTCAATCGCCTCCTCGAAAGGCAGTTCCAGTGCGCCTACTTGAAAGAAAAGTCCACCATCATTGAGATAGAATCTGGGTCGAAAATTTGGACACTGAGTGAGGCCACGAGTGAGGCGAGTACGCATCGGTGGGGTATCGTAAACCCCCAACCCTCGTGTTCGAAACTACTGGACATTTGAGTGGTTGAGAGCGGGGTTCGACTCCCTGTCGGTGCGATTAAATTCCAGCAGGACATTTTTTAAAAATCTGGCGCAAGGTCTCAGGCTTGCTGGTAAATCGGCACAGTTAATCGTTCCTGAAGGACGAATCCTGCTGGGAACTAAATTTCAACCGCTGTTGAGTTAGCAGGTCGTGAGACTAGTACAGCCATTGGCGTACGAAAGAGTCACGACAGTTGAACACGACAAGACTGAGAAACCTGAATAAATACGGGCCTAAGTGAACCCAAGTCGAGACTTGTGCGATCATCGATGGGGTATGGGAAAACCTACAACCCCAACATCCGTGGTTTCTCCTTCAAGTTGAAGGGTTGAGAGCGCGGTTCGACTCCCCTTCGGTGCAGGACAAGCGTTCCGTCCATTTTTCTTTTGCAAACAATGGCAGACTGTCCGTTCGGAACGACGGTGCTTCGAATCCTGCGGCTTGAGAAATGGTCTAATCGTCTCGAACGAAATCCGTCGTGACTAAGCGGGTTGAATCAAGGCTACAAGCATCGGTGGAGTATGGCAACCCAGGCTTCCTTTCTTTCAGGTAAGAGATTCGAATGGTTACGAGCGGGGTTCATTTCCCCGTCGGTTCATTGAGCCTGCGCCGCGTTTTTTGCTCCCCGGTGAGCTATCTTCCAGCCCCTCAATGAGCGCGTCAACCCGCCGTTGAGCAAGTCGGGTACGAGCGAGACGGGCCAAACCATTTCGCCGCGTCAGGGTTGCCGCGGCGGCGACGCGGTAGGGACGCGGCTGTGACGCGGCGGTTCAAATTTTGAACCGCGCCGTTCTCCCGTTCTAGTGGAAACTTCCCCTAAGTTGAATAGTACAAAGTATAGGCACAATGTAGCTGTAGAAGATGGCCCAGGAGTCAGCATCAATGCCGCCTCACATTTGGAAGTTACGGCCGTTTCCAGAATTTTGTACGCGGCGATGACGCAGCGGTGGTGCGGCGGGGACGCGGTGGGACGCGGCGAAGTGGCTACGACTTCGCCGCGTCTCACCTATTTCACGCGGCGATACCGCCGCGTCGTGCGGTATGCGGCGCCTCAACGTCTCGGACGCGGCGCCTACACAATGGGACGCGGCACGTCTCCTTGAGGACGCGGCGCTTGTCATTGTCGACGCGGCGATGAGCGGCGGACTGCTCATGGCCGACGCAGCGATGTGCGGGGCTGCTCATAATGGAATCAGCAATATGTCAGCCTTACCCCAACGGCCACAACTACGCACACCGTTTGTTGCAGTTCACCACCGCGTCGCAGTTGCCAGTCCCGTCGGCCAGTGTCGGCTCCTAAGATAATTCAGTCATTTGCTTGGGTTAAAGTCGCTGTAGCAGCACAAAAAACTGTCTGCTTGGTGTGCCAGTAATGTCAGTGAGGCGGGCAACGCTCCTGCAGAATTTACAATTGAACTGCTAGCTTGCGGCGTGTTGCAGTTCATTCTCCAAAATTAGTCTGAGAACTTGTCGATGAGTTCCCTCGATAGAAACATGCAAGATGTCGTGTTCAACGCTGCCCTTGCACAGCCACCATGCTAACTGCCGTTGAACTCAAACACTGTGTTGCCCGCAACTTTGTGGGCCAAATTATGGGCCGGCTCAAAGTTACTGAACCAATAATTGAAAGTATAAGCATTGACAAGTCATATATGGCATGTATGAGGCGCGCGGCGCGACGCGGCGAAGTGTTTCATTGCGCCACATCGCCGCGTCACCTCTAACTTTCGAACAAACACTCTGTCTATCAAAATTACGGTTGGGGGAATGTTCTGTGACTGTAATAAATTGTCTTCAGGCAGAAACTTCCGCCCCAAATTCTCACTCGGTCCCCACGTTGTATTCCCAGGCATCGACCGAATAGTGAATATCTGAAGAATCACTTGACCAATTTCTTGAAGTCCGATAATTTATTGAACAGTTCAAATGGAAGCACTAGGCCTGTTAGTCTGCGTCGCACCAACCATACTCAAAAGACCCTTCTCATAGTTTGTTGAACCAGCACAGCCACTGTGCCGCCGCCGTCGAACTCAAGAACCCGCTAGAAGGAATTCTATATCCAAAATCGTGCACCGGCTCGAAGCTACTGAACCAAGGATCTACATTTTAAGCATTGGAAAGCCACACACCGCATATACGAGCTGCGCGGCACGACGCGGCGAAGTGTCTGATGAGACACTTCGCCGCGTCCTCTATAACTTTCCCACAACCACTCTGCCCATCTAAATTCCAGTCGGGGGCACATTATACCACTGTGATACACTGTTTTTGAACAAAAAATCCCAACCCAAATTTTCATTGGGTACCCAAGTTGTGACCTCAAGCACCGACCGAATAGTAAGTTTCTGAAAAACTACTGGACCGATTGGCCAGAGTCCAATGATTTATCGAACGAGAAACATGGGTGCACTAGGCCTGCCAGGACTGGTCATCTCACCACTGTTGCTCAAAAAGGCCGTCTCACAGTCGGTTGAACTTGATGTTCCAGCACAGCCACTGCGCCGCCGCCGTTGAACTCAACCTGCTAGAGGGAATTCTATGTGCCATATATTGCGCCGGCTCAAAGCTACTGAGCTAATTATCCAAACTTCAAGCATTGGGAAGCCACATATCGCATATACGAGCCGCGCGGCGCGACGCGGCGAAGTGTTTCATTGCGCCACATCGCCGCGTCACTTATAACTTGGGCACGACCACATTTTTTATCCAAATTTCAGTTGGACGAGTGTTCTGTGATTGAGATACACTGTTTTTGGGCAAAAAAACCCAATCCAAATTTTCATTCAGAACCAAGTTTGCGATCTTGTACACCGACCGAATAGTAAAATTCTGGAGAACCACTGGACTGATTGCCCAGAGTCCGATGATTTACTGAGCAAAGATCATTGGCGCACTAGGCCTGCTACTTGCTGTAGCACCACTCATGCTCAAAAAGCCCTTGTTGCAGTCGGTTGAACTAGCTGACCCAGCACAGCCACTTTGCAGATGCCGTTGAACTCAACCACAACCCGTTCTGGGGTATTTATTGAACTAGAAATTGTTCTGGGAGGAAGCCGTTGTCACATTGACTGGTAAATTAGGGGTGGTCAATGCAAATATGGAATGCAAGAGATGCGCGGCGCGACGCGGCGAAGTGTCTCGCCCTCGCCACATCGCCGCGTCGTGTATAGCTTTTGGGAAAAAAACCCTGCCCGTCAAAAGTTCAGCTCGGGAGGTATTCCCACATCCGTTTTTGCCAAAAAAACTCGCCCCCAACTTGCATTCGTCATGTGCAAGTTGCAATCCCACATCGACCGAATAGTGAATGTCTCGGGAATGAGTCGTCTGAATGCTCTAAGTCCAATGAGATATCGTTTGGTCGAGCCGAGGCACTAGATGTCCTGATTTTTTTGCCGTAAGTTGGATTACAGTGGAGAGTGGCAGCGACGACAAGTAGTTGAGGTTCTGTATTTTACTTACAAAACACACTGTCCCATTATTGCTGAACCTTTAGGTTTGGCTACCCAGGGGAACTTGGATTTGGGCCACATTTCGTCCACATGTACAAACAAGATTTAGTCATGCACCATCAGTCAGAACAAGAACAAAAAGAAAGCAGAACGAAACAGAGCAAAGTAGTAACTGAGAATTTGTAACTACAATTTTGAATACTTGCTGTTGCTGATTGTAACTGTACAGGCACGCTTTATCCAGGGCAGACGCGCCAATTCTTCAAGTTCGATTTTGCACATCAGTCATTTCAGCTTTGTGTTTCGGTTAGCTATCCGTGATGTGTCATTTGGGCTTAAGACGCTCGGCATCCCGGGAGGCGGTGATTTCCGGTCAAAGTGTTGATATCCATCACCCCATGAACTAAGTACTTGATGCGCGACGTGCAGCAGAGGCAAAGAAACCTTCCATTCACCGCTCGCCAGACAATCCAAGAATGCAGCCGTGACACTCGTGCACCTCGGGGATATGGCATTATTCTTCGCTAAAAAAAACTACTTCGAAGTCGGAACTTTTGACGAACTTTTTAGTATGAACTCTGAACTTGCGATCATGATTTGATCTCGGCGCGAGCTATGCCTATGGCCCAAAAGGGACATTCTGCCAAAACACCGCAAAGAAAAATACAGAGGAGACGGACGATGTTTTTATGCGTGTAAATGGCATCCAGGAACTGTCTCAGCATAGCAGGATACCCTCAAGGGAGGTTGTCGGTCTGATTGAGCTGTTTTTGTCTTGGTGTTTATTCATCTTTCTCGCGCCGTTTATGACACTGTCGAAAAGACAAAGGGAGCGGAGCGCGTGGTTTGAGAGACTACAAGCCTGTTCCGCAGCTATGGTGGGCTACAGTTGTTTTTGTAGCACATCAAGATGGGTGAACCTGCTCGAAAGAAAGAGAGAATATTCTCCAGAGCACAATCCGGGTATCATATACTCCAGGCTCTATTATAGAGCGTCCCCTTGTGCTCATCAATGTTTACAGAAGAGGTATGGCCTGGAAGGAAGCTGAGGTTGACAGTGGAATCTCATCCAAATGTACTAGACTTCTGTCATTGTCAATTGTCTAGGGGAAAATATAATTTGAGCAAGAATAACGGTAGCTTTAACCCAGTGGCCATTGAAGCGCTGGACTGGGTACTAATACCAGAGTTATGGAGAGCAGGAATGAGTGTAGCGCAAGTTTAAAAGCGTGTGAACTTTCTCCGGCCGTGATGCCGTGATGGTGCCATCAATTGTGCTTCGAACTACGAACTACGAACTTTCAGAACTTCGTATCAAAACTTCGCACTTCGCCAAAAGTACAGGGTATGGAGTTATGAGTAGCTCAATTATGGGGTGTTCGCACTTCGATTCGGATTAATTAGCGAAGATCCGTCTCATACGGGGAACCGAGGGAGGTAGCGGCGGCGCTGGGCAAAGTCCGAGTGTTTAGAATTTATTTGTGGGTCAACCTGAGATATTGGAAAGCATGAAAATTCTTCTACACGTTGAACAGATAAACGAAGGCGCAAAGCCAACTGCGGCAAAGTATCAGGCCAGTCAATGCTGAGGCAAATCCACATGTGGTGCATTTTTGGTGCATTTCATTAGATCGGTCTGGGTTTCCGATCACGATTATCTACATGTATGAGAAAAGGTTACTGCATGGATCAAGGGCAGCACAGAATAACCTAAAGGTTCAGCACCCGCCTCGAAGAGGCCTAATCCACGTCATGTTCTGTTGATATACTACGGGTGAGGGCCATGATGAGCAGTCCTTAGGTTTTTGTTTTGTAGGCAGTAAACGTGGCGGAGGCGGTGGTGGTAAGGTATACACCATCCATCCTCGACGAACGTCACGTGTGATTCCCTTCTTTGGAGGAGCCCTCGAAAACATTTAATATTGGAAGTATTAGACTACATATGCATAATCCCCTCGAGCAAAAGTTCCTAATCTATGTGTTGTACCTCCAAAAAAAAGAGTGGGCTTCCCCGGTCCAAACTGCGTGAGGAGATACAAATTTCGTCCACGGCCCTCGGTTAGATCAGAAATTGATGGCAATTGATGGGAGATCGCAGCCGTGCTCATTTTTGTATCTCCTCCAATATGAGCCAAATGTGCTCGGGTTTTTTTCTATCGCTACCTTGCACAAAATAGAAACTTTTGCTTGAGGGGATTGTGTCCTACTACCTCCGTTGTCCCGAGATTAAATGTTTTCGAGAGCTCGTCCAAAAAAAGGAGATAACACGTGACGTTCGTCGAGGATGGATGGGGTAAACCTTAGTTGAAAACTTAGTTAACCTAGGTCGGTCTACGGCGGTCGCGGCGTCGTAATATGGCAATAGTGGAGAAAATGGTGTCGCGGCAGTGTGCGGCGATGGAAAACATCGGCGCGGCGACCACACGCGGCGACGCGGCGATGTGGTGTTGGGTCGCGGCGGTGGTACGATGTGACGCGGCGCGCCGCGGCGCCAAAGCGGCGGACGCGGCGAATTAGCCTAGCCCGAGAGAGACTGACACAGCCATTGGTAAATTGGCGTTGGCTCCTAGAAGTTGAACATTCATTTCCTCCTTCCCCAAATAGCTATGGCCTTGTTTGGACCTCGACGCCAATTCGGGCATATACAAGCATCGGTGGGGTATTGGAAGCCCACAACTTTCCTTTCAGATTAAACATTGGGTTTCAAGGGTTGAGAACGAGGTTCGACTCCTCGTCGGTGCATCTGTTGGAACGTACTTTTGGTCCTTCTTCTTCTTCTTGGTGACTAGTCCACAACGGCAAAGCGCCCCGGTCGGCTAGGCCGCCAGGCGTGGAATTGAGTTGTGGACGCCAGCCTTCTGAAAGTTAAGCATTTTTTTTTTCGGCATTTTTTTTCTCGTCAAATAGATGTTGCCTTGAAATGAGGGCCTATACGAGCATTTGTGGGGTTTTGGTAGCCTACAGCTTGTACTTCCACAGACCTTCGTTCAACTTGAAAAGTTGAGAGCGGGGTTCGGCTCCTTGGCGGTGCTACACCATCTTTTCTTTTCTTTTCCACGGGTGCGGGGCGAACCCATTCAGTTCGTCCTCAGACTGAATGAGACGCTTAGAATTTTGCAGGTTAAAAAGAAGAAATCTCTTCTTCAACCAAATCAATCGTCTGAAGGAAGTCGGAGAAAGTCTCTCGCATGAGTACGCCCGCCGAATGAATGCTGGAAGCATCGGTGGGGTACGGTAGCCCACAGCCTTCTCCTGTGGTCATAGTACCGGATTCAAAAGGTTGAAAGCGGGGTTCGGCTCCCCGTCGGTGCATGATTGAAAGCCTCTGGTCCCAAGTTTTTTTTATCTGGCGCAGGCAGGCTGAGCCGGTTAATCACCACATTTGATCGAACCGATGTTTCGAAGGAATCCTGCGAGTTGAAAACTGGACAGAAAGTTCAGTTTCAAACCGAAGCATGTTTGAAAAACGGTACCATATATACCCGCCGAATGAGAGCTGGAAGTATCGGTGGGGCATCGGAAGCCCGCAGCCGGCAACTTCGTGAATCCGTCATAACTTTGAGTGGTCGAGAGCGGGGTTCGACTCCCCGTCGGTGCATGATTAAATTCAATCGGTACGTTTTTTTATCTTGCGCAAGAAGTCATCCGTGGGGTAGGTAATCCGCACATTTGATCGTTCAATGAACGGCGGAGGTTTGAACGGATCCTGCGAGTTGAAAACTAGAAAGAAAGTTCCATTTTGGACCTAAGCGCGTGGGTTGAAGAACTCTAGCATAAGTGCGCCCGCCGGATGAAGGCTGTAAGCATCGGTGGGGCGTCGGAAACCCATAGCCATTATGTGCGAGGTTTTCGACCAAGTTGAGGGTTGAAAGCGGGGTTCGACTCCCCGTCGGTGCATTGCGCTGAAGGACCCGAGCAGCTTTTTTGCTCCCCGGTGAGCTGTTTTCCAGCCCTCAATGAGCGCGTCAAGCCGCCGTTGAGCCAGCATGAGAGAGACCAGTACAGCAGTCGATGAATTGGCGCTGGCTGCTGGAAGGTTGAACATTTCTTTCTCATCGAATAAACGGTACCTTATGGAACGCAAATCACAGTCTATGCGAACATCGGTGGGGTATTGGTTGCCCACAACCCTCGTCTTTGGAAACTCCGATATAACTTTGAGCGGTTGAGGCCGGGGTTCGACTCCCCGTCGATGCATTGTTGAGCGTCGCAGAATTTTGCTGCGTTTTGCAACCCATCCGTAGCTTGCTGCTTTTCCTGTGTTTATCCGGGAGACGTTTGATTTCCCATCCCGGAAGGAGTTTCAGCCAAAACACTCAACCGGTCACGGCCGTTGACTCTCTCTTCCTGTAATTATAAGTCAATTGCAAGGTTCAAGCCACTGTTCAGTCACTGTCGCCAAGCGGCCGTTGGCCCAAAAGACTGAAAGGGATAACGATTCGTGTTTATCAGCTTAATCTGTTGCGACCTGCATAGGATCCCGAAAAGGCAGAATGGGTCGAGCAGAGTCATCCAAGCTGTTGATTGCTCCAGTCAGCGCGCCATCCCCGTGAAAGCTGCCATCCGAGCTGCGCATCACCAGGCCAACAGGCGGGTTGTAGACCCGTAAGCCGATAAAAAAGGCCAGAGGTGGCGTTTCCCCAGATATATATAAAGCGCGCTTGAAGGTCCAGGAGTGTGAGCACACAGAAGTCCCAAAGCCAGCGAAGAAAACCCAGGGAACTCATAACCTCGTCGTCGTGGTTGGAGAGAAACAGCGAGCCCCGCATCACACGCCGCAACAAATTCACACGCGTGCTTAGGCCATATTTGGCCCTATTGTTATCCGGCGCCTTTGTACTCATCAGCCCACCACGCACGTATTCGGCCGCGACCTGCCTCGCCTTTGTCTCTTGCCCTTTGCTACACCTTGTTTTGCTTCTCAACCCCGCCTTTGTCTGTGGGCGGAAACCGGGGAAGAAAGGGCCTTTGTGGGGATATATAAGGCGGAAGATTTGGATTAGGAGTGCATCTTGCCCTACACCCTGACCTCGACCTCGGTGACGACGGACGACAACGACGACTATACACGCCGGCGCTGCTTCTAGGGCGTACACATCTCGCTATTTCTGGGTTGGACTCGGACGGATCCCTTTTTGGCAGACGCGCAGTACGACCGGCTCGCACTCGCTCCACTTTCTCAAAGGCTGCAGTAGGGGCATAACGCAGAAACCAGTCATACGACGGGGTCCTTCCTCTCGCGCGCACTTGAAAGGATGGGTTCTGCTGTGGTAGATTCGAAAAAAGGTGTGTTTATTGCTCCGCTTTCTTTTTTATTTTCCATTTTATTTTGGATTGCATACTCGAAGGCGAGGGGAAGGACGAGGAGGAGCCTGCCGGGACGGTCTTGGACGCGGTGATAGTCCCTCGGGGCTTCGCTCCAGGTTACCAGTGGCGCGAGGCGGGAATGTGCGGTGGCAGCGACACTTGCCGCCGTCTATATCTGCCGTCTATATCTGCCGACGCTTGCCACCCTCCCATTTGCGTTATTACCCCTCGTGCGGAATAGCCGTGACCGCCGTTTCCCTTTCTGACTTTTATCTTTTGGGGTACGGCCATCGGTCCCCGTTTTATCTCTTGCGTACTTTGGGGAGGCTATGGCGCGCCCGGCCTGATGCCGTGACGGAGCTGGATTGTGGTCCCAGACCGCGGGCGGGCGGATAAGGATTCGCGCGCTCGAGCGGCGTCTTTCCCTTGATATCTATTATGGGATGCGGGTCGCGCCTTCGAACGTCGGCGTCAGCGTCGCCCTGTCTCGTTTTCGGCCGTTCTTTAATTTTCTTCTTGTGGGCCGTGGGGGAGGTTGTCGTGCGCCCGGTCCGATGCCGTCAGCGCGCTGGATCGTGCTCCCAGACCATGGCGGGAGAGATTCGCCGCTCATGATCATCACGGCGCAGGCGGTACGGGGTAGTCGTGGAGGGGAGGGACGAGAATGAGCACCAGGAGCATTATGGGAAGGGGGTGGGTCCGATTTAAAGCGCCTACTGGGCTTCGCTCCCAGTGGCGTGCACGAGAATGTAGAGGAACTTGCAGCGGCAGCCACGTTTGCTGCCCTGACGCGCGCCATCCTCTCGGTGGTGCTATCCCTCCTCACAGAGCGTCTCCCTTTCTTTCCTTTCCTTTTGTTTCTGGGGCACGGGCGGTGATCCTCGCTTGCCGCTCTCCGTCTTCGATCTGCCCTTGCACTCGTGGGGAGGCTGTGGTGCGGACGGTCCGATGCTGTGACGGAGCTGGGTCGCCGTGACCGAGCGGGGGTGGAGATGGGGAATTCGCGCGCGCGGCGTCTTCCTTTGAGGTCGATTGCGGGGCAGACGCGCACTCCGCCTTCTCTGGATGATTTCGCGCGCTCGGGTGGCGTCATCGCGTTGTCTTCCTTCGAGGTCGAGGAGACGTGGTCGCAGGACGCGCCTCCGCAGTGCGTGCCGTCGCGGGCGTGGGCGTGGGCGTGGGCGTCGTGTCCCTTTTCGTGGGGAGATCATGATCATGATCTCCATCGTCCCGGTGGGGGCGAGAACGGGGGCTGTGGCGACGGACGTGGATCCTGTCCGTCCTGGCAGATAGACGCGCGCGGACGTCCAAGTGCAGCGACGGATGGCGGATGTACGGCGGGTGATAAGGGATGACGGATGACGGACGAAAGATGAAGGCCGATGTAAATGACGGACGCCGGCCTCTTCATTTCGCCCGTCCGCTGCGCTGCGACGCCGGCGATTCCCCGCGGTGCCTTGTTGCGGTTACCGTGTGCGCGGGACCGTACTGGGCTTTTTGTCCCGTTGCGCACCCCTCTTTTGTCTTTGCTCGCACTCTGCTGCACTCGGAGCCGCCACTTTTACTTCTACTTTTGCTTCTACTTTTGTCTCGTCGCTCTAATTACTCCCAAAATACTCGTCGCTTACGCAACGCCTTCTTCCCCACCGCCAGCGTCATCCACCACCACCACCCCTACGACGTCCGCAACCTCCAACTCCACCACGACCGCCTCCACCGCCACGGCCTCCGCAAACGCTAACGCAAACTCAAACGCATCACCCTCACCTTCATCCCCCACCTCTTCCGCCCTCTCCACCCCCGGCTACTCCACGCACCACCCCCATCACACCCCCGCGCACCTCTCGCTCTCGCTCGACACGGCGCCCAGCGCGTCGCCCTTCCCGTCCCCTTCGTCGAGTTTCTTGCCCCCGCCGATCCCGGGGGCGCACGAGTTTGCGATGAAGGATGTGCCGGTTGGGCGGAAGGGTGTGGGTGGGGGAGTGGGTAAGGATGTAGAAGGGGGCAAAGATGGGAGTACAGGCGCGGGGACAAGCGCGAGTGGTGTGAACGGCGTAGAGCTCCCGCGGGTATTCGCGCCGACCGCGACGTCGACGCCCATCTCAAGCTTGTCGTCGAATGCCGCAGCGCCCAGCGTGACTATAGCGACGGCGACAGCGACGTCCCCACTGACGCCTTCTCCGGCTACGCCCACGCCCGCCAATACCGCTTCCGCTTCCAATGCCCCCTTCTCCGCCGCCGCGACTTCGATGTCCGCGTTCGCATTAACACCGACAGCCACCCCCAGCCCAAGCGCACCGACCACCCCCTCCGCGAAGCGCGTCTCCTTCCCGCCCTCCGCCACGGCCGCCCTCGGCTTCAAATCACACTCCAACTCGAACTCGCCGGCGTCGACGCCCACGTCGCTCGTGTTCAGCCTCGACGAGGAGGGAGGA